TTTTTTTTTTTTTTTTTTTTTTTTTTTTTTTTTTTGAGACGGAGTTTTGCTCTTGTTACCCAGGCTGGAGTGCAATGGCGCAATCTCCGCTCACCGCAACCTCCGCATCCTGGGTTCAGGCAATTCTCCTGCCTCAGCCTCCTGAGTAGCTGGGATTACAGGCACGCACCACCACGCCCAGCTAATTTTTTGTATTTTTAGTAGAGACAGGGTTTCACCATGTTGACCAGGATGGTCTCGATCTCTTGACCTCGTGATCCACCCGCCTCGGCCTCCCAAAGTGCTGGGATTACAGGCTTGAGCCACCGCGCCCGGCCCCCTTTTTTGGTATGTTTTAAAAATAAAAAAGTCAGGCCAGGCACGGTGGCTTACACCTGTAATCCCAGCACCTTCGGAGGCTGAGGCAGGCGGCTCACCTGAGGTCAGGAGTTCAAGACCAGCCTATCCAAAATGGTGAAACCCTGTCTCCACTAAAAATACGAAAATTAGCCAGGTGTGGTGGCACGCGCCTGTAATCCCAGCTACTCGGAAGGCTGAGGCAGAAGAATCACTTGAGCCCGGGAGGTGGAGGGAGCAGTGAGCCGAGATTGCACTAAGCAATGCAGCCTGGGTGACACAGCGAGATTCTGTCTCAAAAAAAAAAGAAAATACATACGTGTGTGTGTGCGCACGCGCTTAAGAGACAGTACTATACAGGAAAATCATCCATGTTGTATGCAGAGGCAGAATGTCAGAACTAAATATAGTGTGTGTGTGTGTGTGTGTGTATTCTGGAAACCTTAAGAGACAGTACTATACAGGAAAATCGCCCATGTTGTATGCAGAGGCAGAATGTCAGAACTAAATACTCTCTGCCTGATGAAACTCATTTTGCGCAGTGGCAGTACCATAGCCAATGAGGTTTATCTGAGGCGCGATTATTGCTAATTGAAACTCAGAGTTGAGCCTCATAAGAATTCCAACTTGCTTTGGCTGAATTCCTTCACTTAAGAAAAAGAAAGAAGAAGAAAAAAGAATTCCAACTTGCTGAAAGCAAAAGCAGGCTTTGTTTGCATCTCCACCACTGGACCTGACTAGCTCTAGTCTACTCCTTACTGACTAGTTTTAACTAGCAGGAAAATAAACATCAAGGGAAGCCAAGTCCTTATCATCAGAGCTCCACAGGGAGAGTCCCCATTTCTCTGCTGTGACCTGGATTTGTTCCAGGTAACTGGAATAACCCTTTACCTCTCTCACACAACGGCAAGCAAAGCTTTCAATGCAGGATGTGTACATCTCACCTGGACCTACAGTCACCTCGGTGGAATGCTTGTTGATAACCTTAATCTTATCACTAAAGCCATTTTCCTCCACAATCTTCACAGCAGCATCAGCCATAGGCTTGAAAACCTAGAAAACAGAGCCAAAACCCAAGGAAAAATGAGCAATAAATTAAACAGTAGTCTGACCTTTAAGGTGAACAACCTATTCCTTGATTCTGGTCCTAACACATGTAACTTAAAAACTTTATTCTCCAAATGTGCATCATGAAAAAGGGCTGTGAAATTCAGTTGGGTTTAACTTATGGTTAGGGACTCCCATTCCGTGCCAGGCACGGTGGGGCAGCCGTGGATGCTGAGGCAGCTGCACTACTTAGTAAGAGCAGTAGGTGTCAGTGCCACACAAGGGGACACCAAAGAGCCAGGAAAGGAAGTTGCCTCACGAACCTGGGAGGCGTGCTGTGCCCTCCAGAGGAGAGCAAGACTGTTCCGCGCCAGGTGTGGGTGTGAGCGAGCAGGTTATCCTCTGGGCTCAAAACTGTTCCAAATCCCCACTGTTGGCAGAACACAGCCTACATTTTCTTATGATACAGTAGTACCTTTTGTCCGTGGGGGATACATTTTTTTTTTTTTTTTGAGGCAGAATCTCACTCTGTCACCCAGGCTGGAGTGCAGTGGCACAATCTCGGCTCACTGCAACTTCTGCCTCCTGGGTTCAAGCGATTTTCCTGCCTGAGCCTCCCAAGTAGCTGGAACCATAGGCGTGTGCCACCATGCCCAGCTAACTTTTTTGTATTTTTAGCAGAGACGGGGTTTCACCATGTTAGCCAGGATGGTCTTGATCTCCTGACCTCATGATCCACCCACCTCAGCCTCCCAAAGTGCTGGAATTACAGGCGTGAGTCACCACGCCTGAACCATGGGGGATACATTTTAAGACTCTTGCCCGGGGTGGTGGCTCACACCAGTAATCCCAGCACTTTGGGAGGCCGAGACGACAGATCAGGAGGTCAAGAGATTGAAACCATCAAGCCAACATGGTAAAACCCTGTCTCTACTAAAAATACAAAAATTATCTGGGCATGGTGGCGCCACCTGTAGTCCCAGCTGCTTGGGAGGATGAGGCAGGAGAATCGCTTGAATCTGGGAGGCAGAGGTTGCAGTGAGCCAAGATTGCGCCACTAGCACTCCAGCCTGGCGACGGAACGAGACTCCATCTCCAAAAAAAAAAAAGACTCTTGGTGGATGCTTGAAACTCAGATAATACTTACCAACCCCTATATATACCATTTTCTTTGCTATACATATACACTGTTCTGTGGTGGGCACCTCTATGCAAACCTACCCCAAGAGGCCACAGGAGCCCAGAGGCTGAGGAAAGAGACTGGCAAATCCAGCTTCTTACAAAGACACATTTTATAGGGACTTACAAACAGAAGCTTTGTCTCAAGCAGTGAGACACTGGGCCCCCACACTGTTATGGCTCAGACGCAGGGCTTACATACAACAGGGGATTTAACTAAGGGCAGGATTTATGGTAAATATGTATTTATGATAACATCAAAGTTGTTCTGACCTGAGGGCAGGATTTACATCAAAGTGCATGAGAGCAGAAATTTTAGAGGCATTCCTGAAGCTGGGGTTGGTGAGAAGTCGGCATGGAGGATTAGCATTCACGGTGAAGCTGCTTTAGCCTCCAAGCTTACCTATGACCAGGTTTAATTTATAAAGTAGGCCCAGTAAGAGATTAACAATAATAATTAAAAATAGAACAGTGATGTAATAATACTCAGAATGGCACACAATTTACAACTTATAAATAATTTCTGGAATTTTCCATTGAATTTTTTTTTTTGAGAAGGGTCTCACTCTGTTGTCCAGGCTGCAGTGCAGTGGTGTGACCTCGACTCACTACAACTTCTGCCCCCCAGGTTCAAGCGATTCTCCTGCCTCAGCCTCCTGAGTAGCTGGGATTACAGATGCGTACCACCATGCCCAGCTAATTTTTTTGGATTTTTAGTAGACACAGGGTGTCACCATGTTGGCCAGGCTGGTCTTGAACTCCTGACCTCGTGATCCACTGGTCTCCGCTTTCCAAAGTGCTAGGATTATAGGCATGAGCCACGGCACCTTGCCTGTTTTGATTTTTTTTGAGATAAAGTCTTACTCTGTCACCCTGCCTGGAGTGTGGGAGCATGTATTTAAATACTTTCCCCTATAAAACTGAGTTCATATAGTGATTAGTTGGAAAAACAAAGTCCCAAAATAACTGTCTTAAACAAGGCAGAAGTAATTTTTTGCTTTCTCATACAAAGTCCAAATCATTGCTCACTGCAGCCTTGACCATCCAGGCTCAAGAGATTGTCCCACTTCAGCATCAAGAACAGCTGGAACACAGGCACATGCCACCATGCCCAGCTAATATTTAAAAGTTTTTCTGTGAAGATGGGATCTTGCTATGTTGCCCAGGCTGGTCTCAAACTCCTGGGCTCAAGCAATTCTCTTTCCTCAGCCTCCCAAAGTGCTGGGATTACAGGTGTGAGCACTGCGCCCAGCCTGTTAAGTATTTTCTAAAGCTCCTAGTGATTCTGATGTGCAGCCCAGGCTGACAGAGGAGAAAATTAGCTCCTGGAGGAAGGAACTGTGTCTGGCTCATCTCTATAGTCTCAGAGCCTGGCTCTGTGCTTGGCACACAGTGAGCACTCCATGAATGTTTGTGAAGGAACAGATGGGGAAAGTGCAAGAGCATAGGTGATTTCCCATGCAAGATGCAGGACACACACCTGAAGGGGGTGGCTTACCTCAATAGCATAGCAGAAGTCGGCGCCTGCTGTGACTGCCATCATTGACAAGAGTCCCGTGCCAGTGCCAATGTCAAGAACCAAGGCCTTCTGTCCTCTGTCCTTCACCCTGCTCACGGCAGCCCGGATACCTTGGTAGTACTTTACATTCTAAGAAGAACGGAAGAGATGGCCGTCACTTACTACCAGTTATTCTAAGTAGAAAGGTGCTCTGTAAAGTTCTAGAGTCACAGCTGGCAGCAGCAGTGCAAGTCAGAACCCTATGGCCTTTCTGGCCCCTGGCAGAACAGCACTGGCTGAGTTAGGCAGGCCTTGTGAGGTAGCCCCTTGCCCATTGTTAAGTGACTGTCCCTGCTCTACACTCACTCTTCTATACTCTACTAAGTGATGCCAGAGCCCTACAAACCATGTTTTCCTTTTTCCAGCTGTTAGGTACAGCCAAGAGGGGGATCAACAGGGCAACTGAAAGATAGGAGGACAGAGAAGGCTTCCTCCTTTCTGCAAGCTGCTCCCCTCATCAGGGTCCTCTCAGTAGGGGCAGTTGATCGCAGACTCCAGCTTCTCTCAGTGATCCTATAACCAGCTCCTTGGACAGTCCCACAGGGCTGCAGCTGCACAGGACCTCTCCTCAATGCTTATGGCTTCTGGAAACCCTAGTCTTCTCGTTTAGTTTCTCAGCCCTAGGCAAGGTAACTGCTCCCTGCAATCTCTACTGCTAGGTTAAAGGGTTTTCCCATTTGCTTTCTAGCCCTCCCACAGCTGGGCGACCAGCGCCCTGTGTTAAAGCCCCTCTGCTGCGGTATGTAACGTGGCTTTGGTTTTCCTTTACCGACTCTAACCCAGAGAGCTTCCTTGTCTAAAAAGTATTTTCCCCTTCAGGAAATACCTTATTTGCATCTTGAAGACTTTTAGTTCTGGTCTTTACAGATACATCTTTCAACAGTCTGACTCAATAGGCACAATGACCCTTCTGTTGAAAACAGCTAAAAATGATGGAAAAAATATATGCAAATCTTTTAAATAGACTGATGACCTGCCAATTAGTAAGAAATATTAAGAGGCTATTAAAATTTAAGATAATTTGTTAAGTAACCGTAGACAACTAATAAATAATTGGTATCAAAAGGGCAATATTCTCTTACCACAGTGCAAAACAAGTTAGAAATCTTAATAACAGAAATACAACTAAAAAAAAAATGTTTTGAACATTGAGAAGTACACTTCTAAACTCACAGGCAAAAGACTAAACTAGATTGGAATTAGAAAATATCTAGAACTGAATATACTTTAAAATTACCTGGCCGGGTACAGTGACTCATGCCTGTAATCCCAGCACTTTGGGAGGCTGAGGCGGGTGGATCTCCCAAGGCCAGGACTTTGAGACCAGCCTGCCTAACATGGTGAAACCCCCGTCTCTACTAAAAATACAAAAACTTAGCCGGGCGTAGTGGTGCACACCTATAATCCTCGCTGCTCAGGAGGCTGAGACAGGAGAACATTTTTTTAAGATTAAAAAAAATGATAAGCAGCATCCTCAATTGTAAACCAGGGATGGCACAACCTTCACTTTAAGGATGCCATTAAATTAGCTGTCACTTTTGAATGACTCAGTCTTGAAGATACCAAAGTGAAACTAGAACCCTTTTTGAAGGCATGTGGCAGTATCTATCAAGAATCATACCTACGTTCATAACCCTAGACTATACCAAAGATATACGCATGGTAAATAAGCATATGAAAAGATATTTGATGGCCAGGTGCTTTGGCTCATACCTGCAATCCCAGTATTTTGGGAGGTCGAGGCAGGTGGATTACTTGACCTCAGGAGTTCAAGACCAGCCTGAGCAATACAGCGAAACCCCACCTCTACAAAAAACACAAAAGCTAGCCAGGCGTGGTGGTGTGCATGTAGTCCCAGCTATTGGGAAGGCTGAGGTTGGAGGATTGCTTAAGGCCAGGAAGTCAAGGCTGCAGTGGAGCTGAGAAATCACACTACTGCACTGGGTGACAGACCCTGTCTCAAAAAAATAAAATTAAATTATAATTAAAAATAAAAATTGGCCGGGCGCGGTGGCTCAAGCCTGTAATCCCAGCACTTTGGGAGGCCGAGGCGGGTGGATCACGAGGTCAAGAGATCGAGACCATCCTGGTCAACATGGTGAAACCCCGTCTCAACTAAAAAAATACAAAAAATTAGCTGGGCATGGTGGCACATGCCTGTAATCCCAGCTACTAAGGAGGCTGAGGCAGGAGAAATGCCTGAACCCGGGAGGCGGAGGTTGCGGTGAGCCGAGATCGCACCATTGCACTCCAGCCTGGGTAACAAGAGTGAAACTCCGTCTCAAAAAAAAAAAAAAATAATAATAATAATAATAAAAATTACAACTACAATGAAGGCCAGGCATGGTGGCGCGTGCCTGTGATCCCATCTACTTGGGAGGCTGAGGCAGGAGAACTGCTTCAACCTGGGAGGTGGAGGTTGCAGTGAGCCAAGATCTCGCCACTGCATTCCAGCCTGGGTAACAGAGCGAGACTCCATCTCAAAATAAAAAAATTTAGTTCACAGAAGCCCAGACAATGGTTGCTGCTGAGGGAGAGGAGAGGTATTGATCAGAGGATCTGATGTTTCAGTTAGACAGGATGAATAAGTTCTGGAGATCTACTGTACAGCATGGTGAGCTATAGTTAATAATGCACACTTAAAAATTACTAAGTGAAGGGCCGGGCGCGGTGGCTCACGCCTGTAATCCCAGCACTTTGGGAGGCCGAGGCGGGTGGATCACGAAGTCAAGAGACCGAGACCATCCTGGTCAACATGGTGAAACCCTGTCTCTACTAAAAATACAAAACATTAGCTGGGCATGGTGGTGCGTGCCTGTAATCCCAGCTGCTCAGGAGGCTGAGGCAGGAGAATTGCCTGAACCCAGGATGCAGAGGTTGCGGTGAGCCGAGATCGCACCATTGCATTCCAGCCTGGGTAACATGAGTGAAACTCCGTCTCAAAAAAAAAAAAAAAAAATTACTAAGTGAGGCCAGGAGTGGTGGCTCATGTCTGTAATCCCAGCACTTTGGCAGGCTGAGGTGGGCAGATCACCTGAGGTCAGAAGTTCAAGACCAGCCTGACAAACATGGTGAAACCCCATCTCTACCAAAAACACAAAATTAGCCGGGCCTGGTGGCGCATGCCTATAATCCCAGCTACTTGGGAGGATGAGGCAGGAGAATCCCTTGAACCTGGGAAGCGGAGGTTGTGGTGAGCCTAGATCAAGCCACTGCACTCCAGCCTGGGCAACAAGAGCAAAACTCCATCTCAAAAACAAACAAACAAACAAAAAATTACTAAGCAAAGCTGAGCAACGTGGCTCACACCTATAATCCCAGCACTTTGGGAGGCCAAGCTGGGTAGATCATGAGGTCAAGAGATTAAGACCATCCTGGCAACACAGTGAAACCTTGTCTCTGTGAAAAATACAAAAATTAGCTGAGTGTGGTGGCACACACCTGTAGTCCCAGTTACTCGGGAGGCTAAGGCAGGAGAATTGCTTGAACCTGGGAGCCAGAGGTTGCAGTAAGCCAAGATTGCACCACTGCATTCCAGCCTGGTAACAGAGTGAGACTCTGTCTCAAAAAAAAAAAAAAAAAAATTACTGAGTAGATCTTAAATATTCTCGCCACACACAATAAAGTATGAGGTGACAGATATGTTAATTAGTTTGATTTAATCATTTTACACCATATACCTATATTCATCACATTGTATATCATAAACATACACAATTTTTGTCAATTCTATCCTGATAAAGCTGAGAGATTAACTTAAAAAAAAAAAAAAAAAACAGAGCCAGAAGTAGGACTCAGCCTCACAACTGATTTCCTGACCACTACACCATACTGCCTCTCTGTATCATTTTAACATCATGACTCCCAGGGATTTTTAACCTTCTTGTAATCCAAGACTTCAAAACACCCTATATCAAAAGAATAGTTTCCTTTAACACTTACTCTGTCTTTGTCATGTAGCATATCTGCATAGGATGACCTAAAAAACAAAAAATGACAGGTAACCTTTACATGATACACATCAACACATGAAAGTATTCACACATACCTAAACAGAACAAATGTGTCATGTATTTTAAACTATTTTTGGATTTCCATGCCTCAGCCTCCCAGGTAGCTGGGATTACAGGCACTTGCCATCATGCCTGGCTAATTTTTGTATTTTCAGTAGAGATGGGGTTTCACCATGTTGGCCAGGCTGGTCTTGAATTCCTGACCTCAAGTGATCTACCTGCCTTGGCCTCTCCAAGTGCTGGGATTACAGGCATAAGCCACTGTGCCTGGCCTATTTTTTTGTTTGTTTATTTTTAGAAACACGGTCTCGCTATGTCAACCAGGCTGGAGTGCAGTGGTTATGAACTGCCTCAATCACTGAGCACCGCAGCCTTGAACTCCTTAGCTCAAGAGAACCTCTTGCCTCAGCTCCGAAACAGCTAGAACTACAAGCATCCATCACTGCACCTGGCCATTTTATTTTAATAGTTTTAAGATGTTATTGCCTAGTGCTGCAGAAAAAAAGTCTCAGAGAAAGATGTTCTCAGACCTAAAAATGCTCCAGTAGTTAACCCTGTCACAGTAATTCCACAGCCACTAGCATCCTGATCTTGTTATATGTTATACATTTTACTCCTCAGGAAAAACTCAGACGCAGTTTGCCTAATACTTGACCTAACCTTGCATACATCTGTGCCTGCAGATAACCACTGATGTTAACACTAGGGAGAACGGCTGAGGAAAGACATGCACTCACACACACCCACTGTTTATGTGACAGGTATCCCACTGGGCATGCTCACTTACCATCATCACAGAAAACTAAGAGTTCACCAATACTGTACTAAAGGGAGGAGAGTCACTTTTCCATATTTCCTACTACAGTAATTCACACATCTGAAAACCCTCAGGCAGGGTCTGGATGAGCAACCAGAACTAGGCAGGCCCTCCCAGACTTTCTGGGAATTGCAAAGGAAAGCTAAGGCACTCACACTAAAACAGAGGCCCTCCAGGCCTGGGTCAACACCAGAATCACTAGAAACTTATTTGAAACGCAGAGCCCGAGAACACACACACACAGACACACAGGCACACAGACACACTCTCTCTCTCCCTCTCTGATCAAGAAGACTGGACTAATGTGCTCCAGGCAATTGTGCCACAAGGTCCACCTCATTCTTTCAGTGTACCATTCCTCAAAGTGTGGAATGTGAACCGCCTGTGGCACAATTTCCTGCAGCATATTAGCAGCCTTCTGGGGTTGGAGGCGGGAAGAAGGGGGGAGAGGGGGAGAGTGGGGGGAGGGAGGGAGGGAAAGAGAGGGAGAGAGAGGGAGAGAGAGGGGGAGAGAGGGGGGGGGGGGGGGGGGGGGGGAGAGAGAGAAAGTGTGTGTGTGTGTGTGTGTGTGTGTGTGTGAACCCCACCTCTACTAAAAACCCCATCTCTACAAATATTAGCCAGGCGTGGTGGCAAGTGTTTGTAATCCCAGCTACCCAGGAGGCTGAGGCAGGAGAATCGCTTAAACTTGGGAGGTGGAGGCTGCACTGAGCCGAGATTACGCCACTTCACTCCAGCCTAGGCAACAGAGCAAGACTCTGTCTCAACAACAACAAAACATGAAAATAAAGTCCAAAATGTTTAGAAATATTTTAAGTGGCCATGCGCAGTAGCTCATATCTGTAATCCCAGCACTTTGGGAGGCCCAGGCGGGCAGATCACAAGGTCAGGAGATCAAGACCATCCTGGCCAACATGGTGAAACCTCATCTCTAATAAAAATACAAAAATTAGCTGGGCATGGTGACGCACGCCTGTAATCCCAGCTACCTGGGAGGCTGAGGCAGCCTCCGAATCACTTGACGCAGGGAGTCAGAGGTTGCAGTGAGCCGAGAATGCACCAATGCACTCCACCCTGAATGACAGAGCGAGACTCCATCTCAAAAAAAAAAAAAAGAGAAATTATTTTAAGCTTTTATTCTGTACCAGACACTGTATTACCTTTAATCATTATTTGTATTATACTGTGAGATAATGTATTATATTGAAGTATGTGTTATTTTATATTAAGGCTCAGAGAAGTAACTTGGCCAACAGAGTAGAGAAGTGGCAGAGCTTGGACTTAAACTCACGTTCCTCTTCCTGCATTTTGCTACCATCCTTTACAAAATGACCCTGCCTACGATTTCAGCAGCCTCTCTCTCTTACCATAACCCTGCTTTTCTACCACACTCCAGCCATGCTAAACTGCTAGCTGCTCCCCAAACTGCCCCATCTGTTTTTGATGTTTTTTTCTGTTTATTCATTTGTGAGACAGGGTTTTACTATGTTGCCCAGGCTGGACCTGAACTCTTGGGAACAAGCAATCCTCCTGCCTTGGCCTCCCAAGTGGCTGGGACTACAGGTGTGGGCCACCGCACCCAGCCACAAACTGGCTCATCTGAAAGCTTACATGGAATCCCTGCTGCTCAGACTTCAACTTCTCTTCCTTTAGAATTGAGAAATTATTCAAACATTACCTCACATCCCAAGTCCAGCTGGTTCTTGTTGCTTCCATGACCTTTTGTGCCCATTTACACCTTTATCTCACTGTGCTGTAAAAAATTATTATTATTATTTTTTTTTGAGACAGTCTCACTCTGTTACCCGGGCTAGAGTGCAGTGGCACAATCTCGGGCTCATTGCAACCTCCACCTCTCAAGTTCAAGTGATTCTCCTGCCTCAGCCTCCCAACTAGCTGAGATGACAGGCACGCGGCACCAATTTTTGTATTTTTATTAGAGACGGGGTTTCACCATGTTGGCCAGGATGGTCTTGATCTCCTGACCTTGTGATCTGCCCGCCTCAGTCTCCCAAAGTGCTGGGATTATAAGCATGAGCCACCTTGCCTGGCCCTTATAATGTAATTTTTTTTTTTTTTTTGAGATGAAGTCTCGCTCTGTCTCCCAGGCTGGAGTACAGGGGCACAATCTCAGCTTACTACAACCTCTGCCTCCCAGGTCCAAGGGATTCTCCTGCCTCAGCATCCCAAGTAACTGGGACTACAGGGCACCCGCCACTATGCCCAGCTAATTTTTGTATTTTTAGTAGAGACGGGCTTTCACATATCGGCCAAGCTGGTTTTGAACTCCGACATTGTGATCCACCCACCTCGGCCTCCCAAAGTGCTGGGATTACAGGCAAGAGCCAATGTGCCTGGCCTGTGCTGTAATTTTTTATGTGCCTGTCTCTTCCACAAAACTTCATGGTCCTTGAAGATGAGAACGGGATCTTCTTCATCTTGGTATCCATAGCCTTAGCACAATGATGGCAAACCAAATGCACTTAATGATTGCTACATAACAACTCACATCCTTTTTTTTTTTTTTTTTTTTTTTTGAGACGGAGTTTCACTCGTTACCCAGGCTGGAGTGCCACGGCGCAATCTCAGCTGGGCGCAATCTCGGCTCAGCGCAATCTCAGCTCACTGCAACCTCCGCATCCTGGGTTCAGGCAATTCTCCTGCCTCAGCCTCCTGAGTAGCTGGGATTACAGGCACGCGCCACCATGCCTAGCTGATTTTTTGTATTTTTAGTAGAGACGGGGTTTCACCATGTTGACCAGGATGGTCTCGATCTCTTGACCTCGTGATCCACCCGCCTTGGCCTCCCAAAGTACTGGGATTACAGGCGTGAGCCACCGCGCCCGGCCACAACTCACATACTTTTAAATGTTTCTTCTAAGGGGGAAAAAAAAGCATTTTCGGCTGGGCACAGTGGCTCATGCCTATAATCCCAGCACTTTGGGAGGCCAAGGTGGGCAGATCACCTAAGTTCAGGAGTTCAAGACCAGCCTGGCCAACATGGTGAAACCCCATCTCTACTAAAAACACAAAAGATTTCAGTGGATCATATCCTTAAAAAAAAAAAAAAAAAAAAAAAAAAAAAAAAAGAAAGAAAAAATACACACAAAAGATTAGCCAGGCGTGGTGGCAGGCGCCTGTAATTCTAGCTACTTGGGAGGCTGAGACAGGAAAATCGCTTGAACCCGGGAGATGGAGGTTGCAGTGAGCTGAGATTGCACCACAGTACTTCAGCCTGGGCAACAGAGCAAGGCTCAGTCTCAAAAAAAAAAAAAAAAAGAAAAAAAAAAAAGGAAAAAAAAGGCATTTTCATTTTTTTCATTCAAAAGAATTTAACCATACGATGATGAATGTGTCACCATTTCAGTGAGGCAAGTAAATGATTCAACTTCATCAACATTACTACTGAGCCTTGGGTTTCCTTTGCTCCACTAAACAGATGCTGAGGCTCTGCTAAGGCTGCTACAAAATGTCTGATGCTCCAAACAGGCATGACTTTGCCTAACTGCCACATATACCTACCTGGCTGAGCAGATTTGCTCAGGACCAACACCCAGCCCTCATCATAAGCACTGGGTTAGAGCCTAGCCCACGCTCAGATTGGATCCCACGGCATCTGATTTGGGATCAAGTGCCCCACCCAGGTGCAGCCTGCTGTAAACCAACCCAGTACCTGGCAATCTCCTGGTGATAATCGTAGTGTTCATCCTCCTCCACCCACTCCACAGACCCCGTGGTCGGATTCGCCCGACTGCAGAAGATCTTCATGATGCCCATCAGCTCCCAGTTTTAGCACAGAAAAGCAGCCTTACCAGTTCTTGCGGACAAGTCTGATGGTCAGAAACCTATTAACATCAGAAGGAAACAGGAGGTGTACAAATAAACAAATATATAAAAAAAAAAATCTATTAACAACATAATGTCCCGAAATGTGGAAGGGGAAAGAGAGACAAAAAGAGTGGAAAAATCAAGAAACTGACAGAAATGTCAAAGCTACTGACAGTATTTGTTAATCAATATTTAAATGTTTTCAGCAGGAGTCACTTGGTTTTATATTCAGCCTGTAACATTAAAAAACTGCAATAGATTCGTACAGAGGTCTGGAAACTTTAGCAGGCCTCGGTGCTTCCAAAAGGGTCCAATGAACCTCACAGGTTCATCTAGGTGCAGCCCTCAAGGCTAGGAAAAGGAGAAGAGATGGGGTGGTGGGGTAAAGAAGTGCCACCCATACTGCCTTAGTATACTGAACACTTAGCTTAAGGAAAAATATGAAGATAGAGCAAGTCAAACCAGGGAAACTTTCATGTAAACAATAAATCACAGTCACACATAAACCTAAAAATGGATAATCCCAGGAATATAATGATGAGCAAAAACAGTGAATCACACCACATATGCAATATGTTTCCATTTCTATGAAATTTATAGCTATGCAAAATGGAACAATACATTCTTCAGGCATCACACTAAAAAGCATAGTAGGGAATCAGGATAGTTCACGTCTAAGAGACAAGGGAAAGAGATGGGATCAAGGAGAGGTACACAGCAGACTTCAAAAGTATTGTTCTTTTTCTTAAATTGGGCGGTGGAAACACACATGTTCATGATATTAGCATTCTTTCTACTTTTTTTTTTTTTAAGAGATGGGGTCTGTTTACGTTGCCCAGGCTGGACTCAAACTCCTGGGCTCAAACATTCTTCCTGCCTCAGCCACTCCCGTAGCTGGGACTACAAGTGAGTGCCCCACACCCAGCTAATATGAGCATTTTTTATGCTTCTTTTTTTTTTTAGTGATTACTTCTTATCTATTCAATTTTAAAAACAATTTTTAAAAACCTTTCTCTATCTAAAAAAATTTTGCTTCAAATAAATAAAATGTCACCAGATTCACATCTTGTATGGCCTGTCTCCCCAAAGAGATCTATTTCTGGGAGGCAGAGATACACCACCCACCACTCAAAATCTAAAGGCACTCCTCTGCAGGTGTGGGCTCTCCCAACACCCACCCCTTTACCATTCAGAAAACAATAGGTGTTCTACACTGCCCTTCCTTTCTTGTTAAACACTGGTGCATCTTCAGGAAACCTTAGAAAGAAGGCCTACTCTACAGATCCCTAAACTTTCCTATGCTTTTTATTGGCCAGAGTTTTTTTCTTTTGAAGTTATCTAGAGTAAGTAAACATGGAATTCTTACACAAATAGATGAGAAACAGGCTGGGTGTGGTGGCTCACATCTGCAATCCCAGCACTTTGGGAGGCCAAGGCAGGCGGGTCACCTGAAGTCAGGAGTTCCAAGACCAGCCTGGCCAATATGGCAAAACCCCCGTCTCTACTAAAAATACAAAAATTAGCCAGGCATGGTGGCACGTGCCTGAACTCCTAGCTACTCAGGAGGCTGAGGCAGAAGAATCGCTTCAACCCGGGAGGCAAAGGTTGCAGTGAGCCGAGATCACACCACTGCACTCTACCCTGGGCAACAGAGTAAGACTCCGTCGAAAAAACAACAAAAAAAGCAAATAGATGAGAAACAATCTTCCCTGAACAAACGCTGGCAAGCAGTCACTGACCTGGTTCAAAGTAGACAATCTGTCCAGGTAAAACTCTCCTTCTAAAACCCTGGCATACCTATCTCCTAGTCTAATGGCTTTCAAACTTTCTGATAACCCCAGTAAGAAATATACTTTACAATGAGACTCAATACATACACCTGCATATACGCATATAACTAAAAGTTCCACAAAATAATACTGATTTCCTATGAACAAGGCCCTCTCATATGCTCTATTTCATTTTCACTGTTTTTAAGAGATGGAATCTCCCTGCTGTCCAGGCTGGAGCGCAGTGGCTATTCACAGGCATGATCATCCCACTGAACTACAGCCTTGAGCTCCTAGACTCAAACGATCCTCCTACATCAGCCTCCTAAGTAGCTAGATTACCAGCATGCACCACGGCACCCAGCTTCAATTTTACTTGCTGGTCAGGACCCATCAATGGGTTGCAACCTGCAGCTTAACAGCATTGCTATAATCCACTCTATCTCGTGTACTGACGCTTATTTTGCAGATAGAATATCTAGAACTATCAGAATCCGTAATGTGTATTAGGAAACTGTGTCCAACAAATGCTGGAGAAAGAAATGGCCATTTCTGACTGAATGTTCGGGGAAGGCTTAAAAGGTGGATTCGACTGAGGCAGGAGGAGAAGCGGGGTAGGTGGAGGGAGAAGGCATTTCATTCGATTAGAAAGGCTTGGATAATCATGCACATTGAATCAATCAGTTTGGCTGAAGTAAAACTGAACCAGGTGTCAAACATGTCAATAGAATCCATATGGTGGAGTCCTAAAATACTAATCCTGTGGTCCATGTGGAATCAATTCTGAAGTCACTTAAAGGTTAAGAGTGATCCTTTTGTAGTTCATAAGCATGATGACAGGGTGTTCACGCACCTGTGTCAGATGTGCCTCCCACAAACCTTTACCCATCTGAAGCGGGCAAAAAAAAAAAAACAGTAAAAAAACTTTAATCCATAGAATTCCTTTCTTGTCTGGGATGCTGCTGAGTCTAAAACCAGGACAACAGTGTCTTTTCAAAACCTGGAAACCAGTTAGGTATGGTGGCTCACGCCTGTAATCCCAGCACTTTGGGCGACCGAGGCGGGTGGATCATCTGAGGTCAGGAGCTCAAAGACCAGCCTGGCCAACATGGCAAAACCCCGTCTCTACTAAAAATACAAAAAATTAGCTGGGATGTGGTGGCACGCACCTGTAATCAATCCCTGTTTCTTGGGGAGGCTGAGGCAGGAGAATTGCTTCAACCTGGGGGGAGGAGGTTGCAGTTAGCCAAGATCGTGCCACCGCACTCCAGCCTAGGCTACAGAGCAAGATTCTGTCTCAAAACAAACAAAACGAAAAGCAAACAAACCTGAAACTATGTCTTTTGTTAACAATTTTATGAAGACATGAACCTCTTTTGGTGGGCACTACACACCTTATATGGCTAAATGCCCTCATCCATTATTATTTGTCCTCTCCCAGAAGGAACCTACACTACAGATTCAGGGGATATTCTCTGACCCCCTCCTCATTCTCCAAGAGTTGTAAACTCACATGGTCAATTTCAAGGAGGAAATAGAAACCACCATGCCAAGCCGTAATTGTATTACCAGACTGCAGAGCAGATGGTCCATTCAATCATTCAAAGTGTATTTACTAGGGGGTGATGGCTCACACCTGTGATCCCAGCACTTTGGGAGGCCTAGGTGCAAAGATCTCTTGAGTCTGGCCATTCCAGACCAGCCTGCACAACAGAGTGAGACCCCATTCTCTACAAAAAATAAAAAAATTAATTAGGCCAAATGGCCTGCGCCTGTGGTACCAGTTACTCCCAGCTACTCAGGAGGCTGAGGTAGGAGAATCACTAGAGCCCAGATGGCGCCAATGAACTCCAGCCTGGGTGACAGTTAGCCCCTGTCTTTTAAAAAAAAAAAAAAAAAAAAAAAAATATATATATATATATATATATACACACACACACACACACACACATTTATTAACTATGCATATATTAAAATTAATAATTAGCCGAGTGTAGTGGTGCGTGCTTGTAGTCTCAGCACTCGGGAGGCTGAGGTGAGAGGATCACTTGAACCCAGGAGGTCAAGGCTGCAGTGAGCCTTGATCACACCACTGCACTCAGCCTAGGCAGCAAAGTGAGAGAGTCTGTCTGGAAAAAATAACTAAATTTATTAAATACCTTCACTGTGCCAGGCACTATATTAGGGACCGGAGCCACCACCACAAACTAGAGAGCTTAGACTCTAATGACAGAGTAACACAAATTACAGACGACATGAATGCAAGAAACACACAGAGCGCCGTAGAGAGTGAACACCAAGGTTACAGAAGAACTCTCTAAGAAGGCAGCATTTGAGACCTACAAGACAGACCAGGATAAAAGTTGGGGAAGAGGTTTTACATGTCAGGAATCCTTACTCCAACTTTCCCAAGAGAAAGCCCCAAGGTAGAAAGAGCTAGGTGCATAAGCAAAATGTGCCAAAAGCCTGTGCGACCGAAGCACTTTTGCAGAAGCCCACTCCTCATCTCCTATCACATCTTCTGCTCAATCAAGCTGGGCCTTGTCGACTTCCGAAAGGCGTTAGGATTTTGTTCTAAAAGCAGTGGGAGCCACTCAAGGGTTTTAAGCAGAAGCATATCTACACTGGGTGTACGCTTTTACAGGACCACTCTAGCTGGCGTGTAGTGAATACACGATTCTCCAATTACTCAGAACACAGTGAGTGGGAAAAATATCAGCAGGTCGGTCAATCAGAACCATGGCCCAGTTAGCTTGGAGCTACTGCGGTTCCTGGCTGAGAGGAGGCGCCAGGCACAAGTACTGCGACCCAGCCCCGCAGGCGGCAAGCACCCAACTGGACTGCAGAGCCGGGGGTCAGCCTGGAACCCCGTTCTCCTGCAAGTCATGGTGCTCCGAGTCTCCCCACTCGGACTCTAGAAAAGTCCCCAGAGTCCAAGTACGCCCACGCCAGGTTCCTCTGCCGAAGCCCTGGTGCTGAGGACACGATGCTGGCTGCACCCCGAACTCCAAAACGACTCCACCTTCCAGCACATCTAGCGCCTCACCCGCCGCGGAAACTCCTCCGTTCGCCTCCGCTGCTATCACCATTTTGCCGCGGCCAGCGCAAGAAGCGGTATCCCGGCTGCGCGCGAGGACTGTGCGAGGTACGGGTCCCAAGGCGGAACTGGAAAGCTATCCCATCGCACCCCGCGCGTTCCCACAATGCTCCGCGGCAGTCACTATGGAGGCCGGCAGGACGGCTGTGCTCCGAGTGAAGCGGAAGCGCAGTGCGGAGCCGGCCGAGGCTCTTGTGCTCGCCTGTAAACGCCTCCGGAGCGACGCGGTCGAGTCGGCGGCCCAGAAGACGCCACAGGGTCTGGACAGAGCAGCCGAGAATAATGTCTTCCAGTTGGTGGCCACTGTATGCTCCCAGGTATTACGCGTGGTGCAGCTGGTGGGGCATCTTAGGGTGCAGCCAGCCCGATCCCTGACTCGATCACGAACCCCTGCTTATGCCGACCTCCCTTCCCTGTTACCCCCTAGGAGGAGCCAGTCCAGCAGCTCCTGCGGGCAGCTCTGCGCCCGTCACGGGACAGCCAGCAACGTGTCCGCCGCAATCTCCGCGCCTCAGCTCGAGAGATCAGGCAGGAAGGCCGCTACCGGGTGGTCTCCAGCCGCCGATCCTCGGGGACCACCTCGAGCGGCCAGGAGTCCGAGTACACGTCGGGGAACCCAGAAGTCTCCGGGGACTCGGGCTTTCAGCTGTTAGACCTTGTCCACGAGGAGGGAGAACCTGAAGCCGCTGCTGCGGCCTCCTGCAAAGTGAGTACGCCCCTGAAGGTGGCCGCTGGGATTCTCAGGACGGTAATGCCAGGAGACTGGGCCCAATAGCAGCACACAGCTTCATCTTAAGGGGATAGATGATCCATCCGGCGTGACGGCTTCATTTTACAGATTTGTCTATTCATCCAATATGTGTGTACTACGTTCCTACTATGTTCCAGGAATTTTTTTTTTTAGATTCTGTGGATACAGCAGTGAGGACCTAACATGCAGGTGGAGAAAAACAGTAAACGAGTCAATTCAGTGTCAGATGATGATAAGGGATGTAAGGAGGGGGGAGATAAAGCAGGAAGAGTGGTGTCACTTCAGTGAGAGTGTCACTGAGAAAATGACATTAGAGTGAAGACTTGCAGATAAATGGCAGGGCATTGCAGATACTGAGAGGACTTACAGGCAGAGAACTTGAAAGTAAAGAGGCCCCAAGCCGAGTTTCCCTGCTCCTTGCAAGGTGCCCGGAGCCCAATGAGCTAGAGGAGAGCAGTAAGGAATTTGAGGGGAGGATGCCTGCTAGACTGTCTAGGTATTTGTAGGGACATTGCCTTTCACCCTGACTGAGACGGGAATTACTGGAGCAAAGTAGAGACAGAGCAAGTAGGAAAACTGATCAAAGAGAGGTTAAAGGACTAGTCCTGGTTAGTGTATCAAGTTTGAGGTAGATTTAGGTCTACATTGCAAGTCTTCTCACATTTAATCCAGTGCTTTTCTTTACTACATTACATTTGCTAAATTGATTTGCACTCACTTTTTTAAAAAGTTTTACTACATGCACCAAAACCATAGAAATAGAAAATTCTCCTGAGGCTGGGCATCGCAGCTGACGCCTGTGATCCCAGCACGTTGGGAGGCCTAGACGGGAGGATCACCTGAGGCTGGGGAGGTCAACGCTACATTGAGCCGTGACTGTGCGCAGTGGCATTTCAGCCTAGGCGACAGAGTGAGATCCTATCTCCAAAAAAAAAGACGAAGGAAAGAGAGGACTGAAAGAAAATTAATTCTGTAATCCCAGTGCTTTGGGAGGCTGAGGCAGGAGGGTCGCTTGAGACCAGCCTGGGCAACAAAGCAAGACCTTGTCACTACAAAAAGGAAAAGGAAATTAGCTGGGCATGGTGGTACCTGCTTGTAGTCCTAGCCACTGGGGAGGTTGAGGCAGGAGGATCACTTGAACTCAGGAATTAGAGATTGCAGTGAGCTATGATCAAGTCACTGCCCTCTGGCTTGGGCAACAGAGCACAACGCTCTCTAAAAAAAGTAGAGAATTCTCAGCATAAGGTGTCCCCCCTCCCCCTCTTTTCCCCAGTGGAAGTCTCACCCTGTGGCCCAGGCTAGAGTGCAGTGGCATGATCTCAGCTCACTGCAACCTCTGCCTCCCAGGTTCAAGAGATTGTTCTGCCTTAGCCTCTCAAGTAGTTGGGATTACAGGCATGAGCCACCACACCCAACTAATTTTTGCATTTTTAGTAGAGATGGGGTTTCACCATGTCAGCTAGGCTGGTTGCGAACTCCTGGCTTCAAGTGATCTGCCTGCCTCAACCTCCCAAAGTGCTGGGATTACAGGCATGAGCCAGTGTGCCCTCTCTTGATAAACATTTTTATAGAACTCATCTCAATAATTTTTAAAACTTAAAAAAATTCAATTATAATTAAAAATGAATCCACAACCAGCAAGCAAATGGTGCTAGCATATTGTTGTTGTTGTTTTTGTTTTGTGGGTTTTGTTTTTGTTTTTTTCTGAGATGGAGTCTCGCCCTTTTTACTCAGGCTGGAGTGCAGTGGCACGATCTCACCTCACTGCAACATCCGCCTCCTGAGTTCCAGCGGTTCTCATGCCTTAGCCTCCCAAGTAGCTAGGATCACAGGCATAAGCCACTACGCCCAGCTAATTTGGTATTTTTAGTAGAGATGGGGTTTCACCATGTTGGCCAGGCTGGTATTGAACTCCTGACCTCAGGTGATCCACCTGCCTCAGCCTCCCAAAGTGCTAGGATTACAGGTGTGAGTCACCGTGCGCAGCCAGTGCTAGTGTAATTGGATAGCAATTTGTGTATGATGTCCATAGTCACATTTTTTCACCAGAACATTCCAGACTAATTCATGACTTATAAAATGTGTAAAGTAAACCAATGATCAGTGGAACTGAATCAAGTAAATAGTTCATCAGGCTGGGCACAGTGGCTCACACCTGTAATCCCAGCACTTTGGGAGGCCAAGGCAGGCGATTACTTGAGGTCAGAAGTTTGAGACCAGCCTGACCAACTTGGTGAAACCCTGTCTCTACTAAAAATACAAAAATTAGATGGGAGTGGTGGTGGGCGCCTGTATTCCCAGCTACTCAGGAGGCTGAGGCAGGAGAATTGCTTGAACCCGGGAGGCAAAAGTTGTAGTGAGCCAAAATTGTACCACTGCACTCCAGCCTAGGCGACAAGAGCAAAACTCCATCTCAAAAAAAAAAAAAAAATTAAATAGCTAATTTAATTTTATAAAGAAAACTAGGAAATAAACTGATGACAGATATGAACAGAAATTTTTCCAGTAAAGGAATACCGACTCTAAACATATAAAAAATGTTTGCACAGAATACTTACAGGGAAAAAATACAAATTTAAGCTTGAAGCATACTTGAGGTTTTATGCATACTAGACTAGCAAGAAAAAAGTAACTGATAGCACTGTTGGCAAGGCAATGATTAAAAGCATACACAATAGGAATAAAATTGATGGCAAGCGTTTTGGAAAACAGCATGGCTTTACGGGAGTGGGGGCCATATTTTAAATACATAAATTTATTATTCGTTGGACCTAAAGCCATGTATAATCTAAAGAAATTTTAAGATTAAAAATGTCTAAGGAGGGCCGGGCGCGGTGGCTCAAGCCTGTAATCCCAGCACTTTGGGAGGCCGAGGCGGGTGGATCACGAGGTCAAGAGATCGAGACCATCCTGGTCAACATGGTGAAACCCCGTCTCTACTAAAAATACAAAAAATTAGCTGGGCATGGTGGTGCGTGCCTGTAATCCCAGCTACTCAGGAAGCTGAGGCAGG